ATGCATACCTTTTGACCCGGCAATAACACTTCTAGGTCTGTATCCCAAAGAAATCACAAAAATGGGAAAAGGACCCACATGTACAAAAATATTTATAGCAGTTCTTTCTGTGGTGGCAAATAATTGGAAATTGAGGGAGCGCCCACCAATTGGGAAATGGCTGAAAAAGTTGTAGTATATGAATGTAATAGAATGCTATTGTGCTATAAGAAATGAGGAGCAGGCAGACTTCAAAAAAATTTGGAAAGACTTGTATGGACTGATGCAGAGTAAAATGAGCAGAACCAGGAGAGCATTGTCTGCAGTAACACCCACATTATGGGATGACTGACTTTGATAATCTTGGCTCTTCACAGCAACATAAGAACCGACGACAGCTACAAAAAATTCATGATGGAAATTGCTATCCGCATTCAGAGAAAGAATTTTGAAGTCTGAATGCAGATGGAAGCACCCTATTTGTTCTCCTTTTCCTTTGTTGTTTTGTTTTATTGTTTCATTCTTATGGTTCCTCCCATTAGTTCTAATTGTTCTTTACATCATGGGCTAATGGAAAAAAAATGCTTAACATGAATTTATATGTAGAGCCTATATTGGATTGTAAAGGGGAAGGGGGAGGGGAAGAAGTGGGAAGGGGAGAAAATTTAAAACTCAAAATCTTATGGAAGTGAATGCTGAAAATTAAAAATAAATAAATTAAATTTAAAAAAAAAGCCAACAACAACATACAGACCTTTATCAGCAAAGTGTATCCCAGATAATCATGACATATGCTATTATGGGCAAGAATCTATGAAAAGAAATGGAGTACCCCTTATGGCAAATAAAAGAGTGAGAAAAGCAGGGCTATGGTATCATCTCAAAAATGACTGAATGGTATCTTTACAATCCAAGGTAAACCACTCAGTATCATAATACTACAAGTCTATGCTTCAACCACTGGTGCCAGTTTATTAGTTCTATGAAGACCTACCTGTGTTCTACAAATAACACCCCCAAAATTATGCTACATTCATTATAGCAAACAGGAAGGGTAAAGTAGGAAATCAAAATGGAATTGGAATAATAGGCAAGTTTGGCCTTATAGTACAAAATGCAGAAGAAATACATAGAAGAAAGCCAAATTGTATCACACACATTTTTCTAATCCAGAGCAGTAAATGAGAAAAGAAAATATAATCCAATATAGGAAAAATCAGATGAACTTGACTTTCCATACCAAATTTTCTACTTAGTTAAACTACATATGAAAGTATATTTGTACACACTTGTGTGTATATAAATATAGATATTATGTATGTGAACCTTGAGAATTCTAGAAACACCAGAAAATGGGGCAAAACTTCCAAAAACTTGGGCATAAGTGAGACAAAGTCTCCTTATTAAATTTTATGAGAGTGGATAATCAAAAAATTAACAAGTCATTTTAGGGGGAAATATTATGTTCTCTTTAAGGTAGCCCAGAAATTAAAGGGAAAACAATAAAGAATTGACCAGTACATCTGACAGGAAGGGATAAAAAGGGGAAAAAAAAAGAACCTTGGAGAGGAATAAAGAAAGATGGGAAAAAGAAGTGTGCCCTGTACATGAGCATCTCATATGAAGTCCAAGTTAATGAAGAAAATGGAGAAAGAGATACAGTAGACAATCCTTAATTGTTCTGGCTAAATAAAAGAAAGTCAGTGAAATGAGCTAATTAAAAATTATTCAGGTTCTGCTTCCAGGAGCCAAGATGGTGGAGTAAAAAGTAAGACACTCTCATTATCCCTCATCAACCTCTGAAATCCCAGAAAATATCAGCCCAGGGAAAACCCTAGAACAGCTGAACCAGAAGAAAGATGGGGTGTAGCAGTCTAGTAGCCCAGGTAGCTTGAGGGACTAAGGGGAAAGGCCCCTCTTGCCCTGGGGGAAGGGGAGGAGTATGGAACAGGAGGCTTCCCAGCAAGCTAGTGGAAAGCCCCACCTCAGCATGCCAGGAGGAGATCCTGAAACCCAGGTGGTGGAGTAGGCAAACACCAACACCTGGACCCCCGAGTGCTTCAGTGAGAGTGGAGGAACCGGTGGAAACCAGCTCAGAAAACCACCAGGTACCTCAGCATTCTACAGCAACCATCTCTCCCAGTGCCTCAGCAAAAATCCATGAAGCACTCCATGGGGTCCCAGGTGGATAAACATCCTGCAAAACACATCTGAAAAGAGCTGAAGAAAGCAAAAGGAAAGGAAAAGCAGGCAATATCCAGAGGCTAGACTACCCAGTCCTATCCCTAGAGTTCCAGTGTTGCTGATTCCAGGCCAAAAACAGGTAAGCTGCCAGAACCCTACAGCCTCCAACTGCCATCAGAGGACACAGCACACAAAGCTCAGGCTCCCAATACAAGAAGCTGGGGTCAGTGCCCCCTGCTCCCCAGCAGGAGAACTCAATCTCTTTAAAGGCTAGGAAATAAGTAAACACCATGAGTAAAGAGAAACGCACCATAGATTCATATCGTGAGAACAGTGAAGATCAAGGCAGAAATTCTGAAGAGGACAACATTGTCAACAAACCCACTTCTGAACCTGAAAAAGGAATATGAACTGGTGTGAAGCCCAAAAAGCCTTCTTAGAAGAGCTCAAGAAGAATGTTAAAAGTCAAATGAGAGAGGTAGAAGAGTCATTAAAAAATACTAATGGCCAACTGGAAAAAAAAAAAAGTACACTGAAGAAAACAAGTCCCTAAAAAATACAATTGGCCAAATGAGGAAGGAGGTAAAAAATCTAATAGAAAAAAACAATTTGTTAAAAATTCGAATTGAGCAAATGGAAACCAATGACTCTAGGAGAGAGCAAGAATCAGTCAAACAGAAACAAAAAATGAAAAAAAATAGATAAAAACATAAAATATCTCATTGTAAAACAACTGACTTGGAAAATCGATCTGGGGATACAGTTTAAAAATTATTGGTCTACCTGAAAATCATGATGAAAAAAAGAACCTGGACAGTATCTTTCAGGAAATCATAAAGGAAAACTGTCCTGAGGTCCTAGAACCTCAGGGTAAAATAGCCATAGAAAGAATCCACCGCTCACCTCCTGAAAGAGATCCCAAATTGAAAATGCCCAGG